TAACGCCTATACTGAATATATATTTTGTATAACAATGGTTATTATGACACATAACATTTAATTTTGACATTATATTAAGGAGTTGCTTATGTCGGTGTTTTCGTCAATTTGTGAAGTTTGCTGGAGAGCTTTTTTCATATGGCTACAGAGGGTATATGTTATGTGATACGGCCAAAACCTGACAAAGGAAATAATGGTTTAGGAGCCTAAGTCTCTATGGACGAAATTAGTTTCAGGACTTTTGGAGTCTATCTGAGGGAGTCCGTCCCTTCGTCTGTCTGAGAGAAGTATCTGATTTGGTCTAAACTGGGTTATATATAGGTTCGAATTGGTCACCTCTGGCACCAATAATGGCCTTCAAACGGCCAATGAAACCATCACACGCTGCCCGAATGTTTCTCTGCGGTATTTTGTCCCATTCCCGGCGATGCGCTTGCTTGAGGTGATCGACACTTTGGTATTTTTTAGTGCCAACCTTGCTTTCTAAAATACCCCAGACACAATAGGCCAACGGATTGGTATCCGTAGATTTTGGTGGCCACTGTGAGCTGGAAATGAATCGAGGAACCTTATTTTGGAATGTCCGGTTGGAATGTCCAAGTTCTGCGACCAAAATGTTTGCGTGCCCAAGACTTTAATACACCCACCAGAATATTTTCCCGATAATATTCGGCATTTATTCTGATGCCACGGTCAATTAATACGAGCGGAGAGCGACCATCAGCTGTTATGACGGCCCACACCATCACCATGGCCGGCTCTTCAGTTCTGGCGGCCAACCGAAGGTGCACAATTTCAGCTGACTTCTTTGGCGAGTAACCACAATCATTTTGTTGGTTTACAAACTGCTGGACAACAAATGTTTTCTCATCGGAGAAAATCAAATTCGGCAGTTCACCACTTCCGACCAAGCGAAGCAACTCTTTAGCTCTTTTGAGTCTACTTTTTTCTGTTGCGGTGTAAGTTCTTGCACTTTTGGGAATTTCAATGGCTTTACCGCTAGCTCATTTTTTGTCGAATGGAATATTGCGATATGTTCAGTTCACGAGCTATTTTTAAGAAATTAGAGAATTTATCTCAAAATTGATATTTGGAGCTCGCAATAGACACCGTCTTTTCTGGCATATAATAAGCTATACAGGCCCAAGTAACAGGCTATGTTCCGTATGCACTGCATTTCTCAAATAATTTTTTTTATAATTTTTCAAGTTCCTACCAATTGGTGGAGGGTACTGCTTTTGACTTGCTGTTTTTGTTTTTTTTTTTTTTTTAATGTTAAAGTTCCCATCAATCCAATTTTGCTGTTATTAGGGTAACAAGTGTTAAAATCTCAAATACTCTAAAAAATCGGCTTTTAGAGTTACCATTCCTGTCATTTAATCGCCTTTATGAATATTTGGCATAGAAAGCGAAAAGAATAACCGGCCTGGTAAAAACTTCGCAATTCGTAACATTTGCATAAGTCTAAGGTTTGACCCCAAAAATTTTTTTCAAAATTTTGAATAGCAACGATATCTTAGAAATTATAGCTTAAGGGAAGAATATCAATATAGCCATTTTCGTAGATAAAATCAAAATATTGAACTTTGACCTCCAAATATTTTCTTTTTGCATGGGAACTTTTTATAACGGCAAAAATTAGGTCTGCACCAAAATACAACTTTTGCGAAATTTGAAATGTCTATTTTGACTGGACTATATTCATTTAAATTGTAGGCGTACAACGGTAAGTGTTTTCATTTCCCTCATGCTGGGCAATGTCCACGTGTTCGTGATATTCATTGAACGCAGCATTTAACACATTGTCTGTGGCCACAATACAATGAACGAAAAAAAACATAAATCATTGACTCATTCGTTGATTGCCGATAAATGTACGTATGTGCGTATATTCCGGCCGATCGGAATCATAGCTTCACAATCTTCTCTTGATTTTATGATGTTAATTCGTGGTGAACTTGTTTGCCAATTATCGTCGCAGACCTATGCATTGCTGTTGTCCACTGCTACTGTCAATGAAAAAAATTATAATTTCATATTGAACTTTGTCCATCGAAAAGTTCAGTTTTGTCATACAATTTTCGCATGAAGCATTAAACGAAGGCGGAATGGACATTTTTGGAAAATTAAGAAATAAAATAAATACATGTTAACCTATTCTTTACTGGAATACCTGTTGAGGGTTAATATAATATTGCTATTAGATATATTCAAAGTGGGATATTAGAAGTTGGAGTTTAACTCATTTGTATCTGGTTTTTTGGTTAAAATTACGCACACCTTCAACCGTACATTAATTTATTTAACAACTTTGAAATGAAATGTTTTTATACTCTCAGATTTATGGCTAGAGAGGGTATATATCACTTGATACGGTCAAAACGTGCCTCATCGAAATAAAGGTTTTAGACCCTAGGTTTCTTTGGACCAAATCCGTTTCAGGACATTTGGAGTCGATCTAGCGATGTCCGTCGTTCCGTCCATCTGTCTGTCTCTCGGGCTGGTGCGCACGATAACTCTCGAAGGGAGTATCCGATTTGGTCCAAACTTGGTACATCGTAATATTTTTGTCAAACTTAGATCAAGTTCGGAGAAGGACAATGGATGTCCACTGTCTTCCAATTTCACACATCCCAATATTTTTATTGACCCAAGGTCTGGTGTTTAGATGGTCCACTCCTTCCGGTACCTCCCTCACAAATGGTCGAAAATTTCAAAAAGACATATTTTTTTTTTGCACAGAAAGGGAAGCAATAATCTAATTTTGCAAATCGTAATATTTGTGTCAGTTCTAGGTCAGGTGCCAAAATGGATAATATTGGTCTACTCCATCATGTACCTCCCCCACAAAGGGTCAAAATTTGGAATAAGTATAACTCTCCTAAAATGTGATGTAAGAGTCCGATTATTTTCAAATTACAGAAATCTCAATATTTTTATTAATCCTAGGTCTGGTGTTAAGATAAAATATATATGCCCACTCCTTCAGGTACCTGCCCCACAATACCTCAAAATTTTGAATATCCGTGAATCTCTTAAAACGCGAAATTAACATCCGTTTCCATTCAGACTTGGTACATCTGAATATTTCTATCAACACAGGATCTCTTATAAAGATGATAGAGATCGGACCATTCCTTCTGGTACCTCGCCCACAAAGGGTCAAAGTTTTGAGTAAGCAAAACGTTTATAAAATCTGATTCCCTTTATATTTCACATATCCCACTACTTCTACTGACTTAAGATATGATGTAAAAATGGGATATATCGGTTCACTCCTTCTGGTACCTCCACCACAAAGGCTCAAAATTTTCAATATCCATGAAGCTCATAAGTCGCGAAATTAACATCCGTTTCCATTCAGACTTGGGACATGTCAATATTTTCATCAACACAAGATCTGTTATAACAAATAAAAAACATTAAGTTCGGCCGGGCCAAACTTTTAATACCCTCCACATTAGAAAAAATGTGGCAAAAACCATTAAAATGCCGAATATCGGGAGGTACCGTCATATGGGGGCTATACCAAATCGTGGACCTACAAATGCAATGTTTCGTCAAAGGAGCCAGAACCCATTACGACCTACAAATACCAATTTTTAGACAAATCAGTGAAAAATGTGGCAAAAACCATCAAAATACCGAATATCGGAAGGTACCGTTATATGGGGGGCTATACCAAATCATGGACCCATACATGCAATGTTTCTCCACCGGATCTGGAACTTATTCTGACCAACAAATACCAATTTTTAGACAAATCCGTGAAAAAAATGTGGCAAAAATCAGCAAAATACCGAATATCGGGAGGTACCGTTATATGGGGACTATACCAGAACGTAGACCGATATATCTCATTTTCAATACCAACCATCCTAGACATAATACAAATAACTCTGCTAAATTTTGGCGCTCTACGTCAAATAATGTGGGCTGTATCGTGATTTCAACAGACAGACAGACGGACAGACAGACGGACATCGTTAAATCGACTTAGAATTTTATGCTGATTATGAAATATATACTTTATGGGGTCTGCGACGAATATTCAAGGATGTTATGTTTAAGGATGTTACGGAATGACAAAGTTAATATGCCCTCCTTTTCAAGGTGGAAGGTATAAAAATGGTAGGGATCGGACCATTTTTTCTAGTACCTCCCCCACATAGGGTTCAACTTTTTGAAAGGCAAAACGCTCAAAAGAAAACGAAATAAGCATCCAACTCTCTCTTTAAATTTCACACATACAAATATACAATTTTCTCTCATAACTTGAGAAACAAGTCAGCGATAACTCATATAAAGTGAAGGAAGTAGCAGATATAGTCCTCACCTGGCACGTCTCAATACTTATATCACATTGATTTAGGTCGCATACGAAATGGACAATATTAGCCCATACATGGTCAACAGTTTGAATAATTAAAACACAAGACAAAATATATGTAAGTAATCGAGCATAGGCTGAGGGTATACATCTGTCGGAAAAACCGACTGATACTATTTTACGTGTTTTTATAATTGTTAAGTAAGGGACGTGTAAAAAATATTATTCACTTGGCTTAAGCTTTCAGACAAGTAAGCCCCCATAATTCACATTATCAAAATGTCAGTCTGAAGAAGTCTAATCCAGCACATGTTTGATTTACACGTGTTGAACAATACAAATACTACAAAAATACACTTCCTACACAAAAGTTTGTAAATTACCCTCCTTTAAGACAGATAAGACCTGACATCTTACAGCAGAAATAGCTGCTTATGTAAATAGCTCATGCATCGCTGGACAGGCTGATTATGGAATGCATCGAAATGGAAATGCAAAACAATAGTGATTTCCAATACTTTTGTTTTCATTTCTCCAGCTTATTTATTGTATAAAAATAGAAAAACTTTGTTTTTCTAAGAATTATAAAAAAAATAAAAAAACAATACTCTAATGCATTTTTAAATAAAAACAACAACACAAAAAAATGCACAATACTTGCTCTACTCACTGATAATGTGTATCATAAAGGAACCGAACACCACCATCCAACCCCAACCACCATCGGGTGGCACGGGTTGTTGTGTCTCCTCCAATTCCATTTCGTATTGTTGTGTGTCATTGTTGTTGGTTGCACCATTGGTCTTCTTCTTGGCAGGGGCTCCATGTACCATTTTGATAGAGTTTTATTGTGAGTTCTCGACTTCTAGGCGTGTAGACGTGTGAAAAGTTCCCAGAGGATATGTTTGCTGAGGTAGTTTGAGTTGTGACGAAAATAAAGAGTAGAAAAAAAAAAAACTGCAACTAGTTTAACTTAGGGGAGAATAGTTATATCACAATAATTGGTTTTCAGGTTTCAATTCCACTCAATTCCATTTGTGTCTTCTTTGATTTCTAATTTGATTTGTTAATTTGATTTCATTGTTAAGTTTTGTAATTGTGGTTGTGTGCTTTCATTGATGTTGCAGAGCGTGACCTGTAAATAAAGAATAAGGATTATGATAATATTAGAGATTATAAATTTATACAAATTAATATTAAAATACATAAAATATTAAGTAATTATGGACCAGAAATATTTGCACATGTTTTGATTTTAGTATTTCTCAATTCTCAATTTTTTTTGGCTAAATATTAAATTAACTGAGAGTTTTCATTGTGTAAGCCCAACAATCTTTGCAGCTAGTTTTACATTTTTAGATTTTGTTATGTCTAGTTTTTTATTAAAAATAAAAATTTATTATTCATTATTAATAAAATTAAAAAAAAAATAATTTGCCTATAAATTTGGACGACAACCAACATCTGATATTTGGGATTGAATTTAATTAACTATACACAAATATCATGCACAAACGTTTTAATTTTGATGACGAACGCGTCGAGGCAGTTACAAAATTATATATGGGGTGGAAGAGGACAATCTCGGTTATTTTCATTATCGCTATACCGGGGTTTTTTCAAATTCCAAAAAAATATTGAAAAATGCTCCTGGATCCAATTTTCATTCGTACCAATTTAAATAACTTTACATTCAAAATTTTTTTATACCCTCCACCATACTATGGAGGGCATATTAACATCGTCATTCCGTTTGATCAGCATAAAATTCTAAGTCAATTTAGCGATGTCCGTCTGTCTGTCTGTTGCAATCACGCCATATTTCGAATGAATTGGGATAAGATTTTGCACACGTGTGTATTTTTCCAGTAGGCAGAATAAGTTCGAAAATACATCATGTAAGACCACAGTTTCGTATAGTCCCCATAAAACGGTATCTCAAAATATTCAGTATTTTAATGTTTTTAGCGACATTATTCATGTGATTTTTTTCAAATTCGTATTTTATGTTCGAAATGGATAGTACTTCCTAGGATAGAATATTGTCTGTGCAGGTTTACGTCTTCGTATGGCCCCCATAAAACAATATTCGGTATTTGGATGATTTCAGCGGCATTATTCACCAGAACTCTATAAAATGTCGTATTGTAAGTTCTAGTACCCGCTGAAAATTCTCTATGTCTTGGTGTAGCCCCCATACAACCGTCCCTTCCTATATTCGATATTTTGATGAATTTAGCGATATTATTCACCGAAATTTGATGTTCCAAACGGATACAACCATCTTTGACACAAAAAATGTTTTTGTAGGTCCAGGTCTTCGTATAACCCCATATAACAGTACCTCCCTATATTCGGTATTTTGATGATTTTAGCCACATTATTCACTGATTTTATACCCACAGCCATTTGTCCAGAGAGGGAATATTTTTTTCAAATTTTGTATTTAAAGTTCTTAGTGTACAGCCTATGAAAAAAAAACCGTATGCTGGTTCACGTCTTCGAATAGCCCCCATATAACGGTATCTCCCTTTATTCAGTATTTTTATGATATTAGCAACCGTATTCACCGGAATTGTTTCAAATTTTGTATTTGAAGATCTAAATGGGTACGGCAGCTATGATAAAAAATCTGGTATGCAGGTCCAAGTCTCCCCGATTTTCGGTATTTTGAAGGTTTCTGCCACTATTTTCAACCAAATTAGCTGGAACTTGACAATTGGGGTTCCCAGTGGGTCTGTTCTCTCCTTCCAAAAAAATGTTCGATTCGCGTTCACTAATTGGTATAGCCCAGATATAACGGTTCCTCCCTATTTTCGTTATTTTTAAGATTTCTGCCACTATTTCCAACCAAATTAGCTGAAACTTGACAATTAGGGTTCTCGATAGGGTTCACTAATAGTTATAGTCCCATTTAACGATACTTCGATGCTTAATTCGCATTTTATGATCGTTTTGGTTATTCAAAGTTTTCACGCTTTGTGAGAAAAGTGCCAAAAAAGTGGGCCAAAGGACAAAAACCGTTTCAGGACATTTGGAGTCGATCTAGTAGACTGTCTATCTATGTCTATGGCTGGTGTGCATTTCACACATTCCAATATTTATAGCCTACACCACATAGTGGTAAGGGTATTATGTCTTTGTGTATTTGTATTTGTTGTGAGAAGATAGAATACCACTTTCTGAGTCGATTAATGCATGTCAGTCCGTCCATCCATGTATTCATGTGAACAAAATGCAGGCCGCATTTATTATCCGATTGAGATGAATTTTTCCAAACAATATTTCTTTGGCCCATGGACGAACCCTATTGAAATTGGTGATAATCGGATCAGATTTAGATATAGCTCTCATATATCTTCAACCGATTTCGAGTTAATTGTGCATCAAATGGCCAATGTAAGTCCAAATTACCAGAATTTTGCCACATCCAACCGAATTCAGTCTGGAAGCAAATACATCGAATTAGGATATCAATATCAGTCCAAATAATCTGAATTTCGCAAGTGATTAAGCCCCCCACATTCGTAATATGCATTCGACAACAATTATATATTGGTACCAGATGTCTCATAGAGCTCGGAAATAACTTTTACCAAATTGTATTGTGATTGGTTAAGATTTGGATATAGCTTCCATATATATACTTAATCCAATTTCAAGTTTATTGTGTAAGTAAAGGCTAATATCAGCCCAAATGGAGGCTCCGATATATATATTTTTAATATAATTCCTCTCGAAGTGATATCATCCACTCTATAGCAATGCTATTTGGTATAAAGGATTAAAATGTCTCCGTCAAATTTAGTGAAAATCGTTTCAGAATTGCATATGCCTCCCATGTATTAGTTCCCTCTGAAACCAAACCGTAACTGCTCTAAAGCCAAATGTTGATAGGTGATATGATCTACTACAAATAAATTTTTTGCTTACGGGAGCTCTACTAATTATGCATAGTGATGTAGGGTATCATACAGTCAGTCCCGCCCGACTTTTTAATTTTCCTTACCCCTCCCACCAACAACAGATCAAAATTTGTAATAGCCATGAAGTTCATAAAACGCGAAATGGGTATCGCAATTTTTTCAAACCAGGTATGACGATGAAATTTGTACCACTCCTTCTGGTATCTCCTCACAACGGGTCAAAATTCTGAATAATTATACCTTTTATAAAATTGAAAATAATCATCAGATTCTCTTCAAATTTTTCACACATCCCAATTTTTATACCCTCCACCATACTATGGAGGGTATATTAACTTTGTCATTCCGTTTGTAACTCCTCGAAATACTCATGTCAGACCCAACAAAGTATATATATTCTTGATCAGCGTAAAATTCTAAGTCGATTTAGCGACTTAGTCTGTCTGTCTGTCCGTCAGTCTGTCTGTCCGTCAGTCTGTCTGTCCGTCTGTCTGTTCTAATCACGCTATCTTTCGAATGAATTGAGATAGATTGCTAAAATTTTGCACACATGTTTATTTTTCCAGTAGGCAGGTTAAGTTCGTAAATGGGCCATGTAGGTCCACGTTTTCATATAGCCCCCATATAACGGTACCTCCCTATATTCGGTATTTTGATGAATTTAGCGACATTATTCACGGGAATTGTTTCAAATTTGGTATTTAAAGTTCAAAATGGATACTACACCCTAAGACAGGAAATTGTCTGTGCAGGTCCACGTCTTCATATAGCCCCCATATAACGGTACCTCCCTATATTCGGTATTTTGATGATTTCAGCGACATTATTCACCGGAATTGTTTCAAAATTGGTATTTGAAGTTCGTTATGGGAACTAAAGTCTGTGACAGAAAATTGTCTGTGCGGGTCCAGGTTTTCGTATAGGCCCCATATATTAATACCTCCCTATATTCGGCATTTTGACGATTTTAGGTACAATACCCACCGAAATTGTTTGAGATGTGGTATTTGAAGTTCGTAATGGATGCTACAGCCTGTGACAGAAAATTGTCTATGCTGGTCCAGGTCTTCGCACAGCTCCAATTTAACGGCACCTCCTTATATACGATATTTCGATGATTTTAGCTACATTTTTCACCGTTTATTTCAAGTTTCGAATTTAAATATGGTAATGGCTTATGACAAACAATGCCTGTGTATCTCCACGTCGTATAGACCCCAATATAATGGCTATATTCGGTATTTTTTAAATGTTAACAGAATTTTTTAAGGAGTTTATTTTTTAAAAATTTCCAAATTCGTTGCAAATGTTGGAGGGTATTAAAAGTTCGGCCCGGCCGAACTTACTGCTTTTCAACTTGTTATCATTACAAAACCAAGTTTAAAGTTGAAGTAAGCCGAACTACTCCTTCTGATACCTCCTCCATAAGGGGTCAAAATTCAAAGTCATAATCTATTGAGTTTTCCCTGTAGTTATTTTTTTGTGTTGTGCATCTCATCTCGCTCGTAACACAAGAATCGCTTTTTGCCGATAATTAATATTACTTATTATGATTTATTTATTTGTCCCGATAATTAAATTTCATTTTTTTTTTGTATGTTGTGACATTTCGTCTTTAAATCATTTCGTCTTTAAATTAAAATAAATCACATAATGTGAGCATTTAAATGGCGTCATATGAATACGCCCCTTAATTTGCAGTACAAAAGATACCGACATATTGGGATATACCATACAAATATAGTTTAGGGTGTATCATCTGGAAAATGTTTTTAGTGTACTATCATGACTTCTTAAGAGATTACTAACATTTAGTAAAATTTTCGGAATAATATAGTTTACAATAGCCGAAAGATATAATATAATAATATTGAGAATTTTTTTAAATATTTTTATTAAGAATCTAAATTTTTCCTTGAATTTTTATTTTGTATCCCATACAAGAGCCACCCCATACTTGTAAAGCTTTGAATCTTTCAAATTTATTAATTCGTTTGTTGTGACATTCGGATGAACTGCAATCTCGGAATTTTATTATGCGAAACAATCAGAATTCAAGTGATAATAAAAGTCACTGGACAAACAATTAAATTTCGAGTGATTTGACAGTCAAAAAATAAAAGAAGACACGAAGCAATTAGGTGATTTCACTTTCGAGAAGTTCAATGGTCTTCAATTTTCGACAATAAATAGTCGTTTTACCGTGATG